GACCAATCAGCGGGCAGAGTTTTCTTCAATATTTCAGTGCCATTATTGGCGACCCTGATGTTTAGTCACTTGATTTGATTTTGAAGTTTGTTTTGTAAATGTCATTATATTCGTCAGGGAGACTAGACATCTCCATGATATTCGTAGTAATTTATTATAACTTCAATTTGAATAGAAGTGTATTTGAAAACACAAAAAATTTAATATTATAATTATGATGAAGCGTTCGTTCACGTCGAAAACGCAAAAAAGAAATTAATATGCTTAGAAACAACGAAAAACTTTTTAAAATGAAAGTTTTCTTCTACTTTCACTCACAAAAAGGCCCAAAAACAGTGGTCAGATATTGCTGAAACTTTAAATGGTTTAATTAATGTTGTCGCGGATGGTTTACAATTTCTGCAGCTTGCAAATTATTCATTATATTTAGAATTAATAATAAATTATTTGGATCCATTACAAATTTCAAATGATTACGCACCTTCGAACAGCGAATGAATGAAGTGACTTTTCGCGCATGAGCATGAGATGACATTTGGATTCAAACTATTCGGAGAAAACGCCAATTCCCCCGACAAAACACTGTGGAATTATTTCTCTTGATATCTAGAGAAAATATTCCACAAGAAAATTTCAAAAATCACATTATCTGCGTGTCAAGAGAAAATGACGTAATTTTCTCTAATGAACTAATTCTTCTGTTTTCAAAAATCAAGCCCCAGGATTTGTAACTGCGTACGAGGAGATCGCAGAAACTTCAGAAAAAGTTTTTAAACATCAAGTAACTTCTTTCCCTTAAATCCGTTATGATCCTAACTCCATTGATTGTTTTTTCTTTGTGTTAAAGAAGGAAAACTATCCTGAATATACTGCTGTTACATTCTCTTAATAGTAATAAAGCCTTCTCTTGATTTATTTCCTTAATTATGTAGAATCATCCTCTTAGTTCAAGTGCATAAATATGAAATAATGCGTGATTTAAAATTTGCACAGATTTACACACGCAACGCTCAAGAAAAATCCATTAGTGGACGTGCGAAAATAATGGCCACCCATTATCTTGAATAAGCGTTTAGCATCGTAAGGGTGTGGGGTTCCGGTGTATAGTGCCGATGGTTGGGGTGAGAGGTGGGCCGTGTGCTTAGCTCGTGCCCAGGCCGCAAGTAATTGCCTCTGGTGGCGATAATTGACATATTGACTACGTCAGTGACAAGTGGTTGATCCCAGGAGGGTGGTTGTATTCTCGCCCGGAAAAATGTAGTGTCGAACGTCGGCTTCCCATTAACATACGCGCTGAAGTCTTCTAGAGAAATATTAAATGTGAATATGTAAATCTTATATTCTAGTTTTATGAAGAATATTAAGTTTTCATTATACAACGGACAGATGATCATTAGTACGGCCTTGAATGAAAACGTCGTGATTCGACATACGCGACTGTCGCCTGAACAGTGGACCAACCTCTTTGAACCTCCATCCTCTTCGCAGATCAGTTTTAACAAATTGTGGGGAGTAAAAATAGTGATATTTTTTAACAAAAAACGAGTAAAGCACCATTATACATACTTTTATCCTTGTTATTTAAATATTAGGTAAACAGACATAACCTTAACTTTTATTGTTATATTTTTTCAAAGTTCAATGCCTTTAAATAGAAAATATTGGAATGGTGTATAAATTCGCAGCCTTTTTGGTTTCCATAGTAAAAAGATAGGTATTTCCGACATATTTTTTTTAAGTTCAGTAGTGGAGTTTAGATATCGCATACCTTTAGAACCATTTGTGTCCTCTATAGACCCCTAAATGGTTTTCTCATTCCAATTAGAACCATTTTGAAATAAACGAATCTCTACTTACAGGAAAACTAATTGATGAAGATCGCTAGAGCCTTTCGTAAGCAATGGAAGAGGATTATCCATGATTAATTCATTTATTTTGTATGGCAAAATGAAATAAGAATTCGAATGAAGTTATTTTGCAATAAAACCAACAGAATAACTTTTAATTAACATTTAACAAAAACAAAAGACTTAGGTTCATAAGTAGCAAATTGTTGTCATATACCAAAAATTACGTCCAACAACAGGAGAAAAAAGTTGTACTTTAAATAAAATTGTGATTCTGTTTGCGAAGAAGACAATGCGCCTGCTGGTAATATATGTACTACAAGTAATATGTTGGATTGCATAAGATATCTTAAAATATATTTGTTGAGAATGCGAAATAATTTAAAGGTTACTACTATTCGTCAGTAGAACCACCAGAGATATACCGGTTTTGATATTATTCTCATTAGTATGCTACAAGTGTAACAAACGGCGATAGATTTAGCTATTTTAATATCTATCTACACATACGATGGGATTATGAATGAGATATAACTTATATCTTAAATGGTCACTTCTGGTTATTGTTTAGATGTTCGGCCTAGTTAAATAAACAGTTAAATCATGTCTCGTTGCCTCACCTACAGTGAGAACTAATAAGTTCGGAGCCGGCATTTGTCTGGTGGCTCTACTAACGTATGATCTTAGCTGTTTACTAGCTAATGTTGATGAAATTGAATGCTGGTCGAGGCAACAGACCACAGCAGGTCGCTCTCTGCCAGTTTGCATTCGATCAAAAATCATTTTAATGATCATGGTCAATCGTTTCGTAAAAATGAATGAAACGAGGATGACGTTTACAGTGTGTTGAGACAAAGCAATTATGAAATTATTTTAATCACAATTTATAGATTTACAGATTAAATTTCATGAATTATTAATCTTTTCGTATTGACGTATGATTCTGTGTCCGTATTTTAGACAATTTTTTATTTGAACCCTCGCTTGCTGCCTCGTTAGGGGTGATGATGAGCTTGATTGAACTAATCCATTTTAATTATTCACATGCGTGTGTAGCGTTCATTAGAAGGACATAAAGGGGTTGTGCATAACATACGAGTATATGTTGACGGGAGCCAAATATATTTATAATTAAAACCGAGATTGGTTATATATCAAATCTAAAACACTTTTATGTAAAACTAGATTTTATCTTATACTTAAATAAAATTTAAAACTTAACAATAGGTACATGTTAGATAGCACCTCTGTTAATTATAAATGTACCTACATTGTTTTTAATTTGATTAATTAATAAGAATATAAAATATCTTTTGTATACCAAGATATTTTTAGGTGTAAAGAAAAAACACTGTTCCGGTTTCAGCGTTATAAAATCATGAATATGAAATAAAATGGACAATTGTATTGTATGTGTTCTATCCATGTTGGTAATATATAAATTTACGTAATGTAGCTTTGTTGAATATCTTAGCACTTAAAGATAAAAGGTTTTGAGATATACGTAAGTAGAAAATTACCTGGAAGTGCGTAGTTAATTTTATGCGTTTAACTAAAGTTAGCATAAGAAAATAGTATCGTTCTTTTTAAAAGTATATTAGTACTGTTAATAATAACAAGTTCTCTCTAGACCTAGAGTAGAAAATCCATTTTTTTCTACTGATGTACAACTTTTTGTTCAGTTTAATTCAAAATGAACTGTTAGAGAGCAAATTATTAAAATAAATATTAAATATCATTAAATAATACTACTTACTTGTAAAAAATAGTTTATACTCTCAACATTTTGGTGTACAAAGTAAATACACTGACCTTAATTTCAAACTTCATATGAACATATATCCTAAAAGTCTTAACTTTTGGACTACAGGGTGCTAAAGTTGTATGAAAAAACATTTTTTATGATAACTTTGGTATTACCCTAGATATTTTTTCAAATTTGGTACACGCCTTCTATTCATCGAGATGCATTTTCTGATGTACAAACAATTTTATTAGTTTTGCCAGTGGCGTCTGTACAGGTTTTGTATTGAATATTTTTGAAGAATTATGTTAGAGCAACAAGAATAGAAAATATTTCATTTATTAAACAATTTCAATATATTTTATATGTGCTTTTGAATGGATACTACTTTGAAATATGATTTTTAATATTTATTTTAGATAAATTAATGTTTACTAGATACTGGAGGTGTAATTCATTGGTAGTTCGGCATGTAGTCCACAGAGTAGTTTCCCGCAAAATCATCAATTAAGAATCTTGTCTTTGATGTTTATGATGCATACTTCTTCTGCATACCTAAATTTTCGGTATCAAAGAACAGTTTTAACTTCATTTAATTTGAAAAAAAAAGTAAGGAAATAGAAGGATATTGATAATACAATATATTTTGCACCAATTAGGTGCCACTGCTTTAAGTACAGTAACAATTGTACAAATTATAATCTTTATTGTATTTCATAAATGAATAAATCAATAAACCTAACCCCGAACAGTACGGAATGCATATTAATTTTAGCGGGAACAATTTCCTGTTGAGATTGCCAACTGCAGCTACAATCGCTGACATCGGTATGCAGGTACGGCTTTTATTTGCACCATCTCACAAATCTAGTTACACCCCCTCAAGTCTTCGGCCAACCGCGAAGTTTCAAGTCAAGGTTACAATTTCTTCCTCGTAGTAACGTTCACAGCCACCAGGTGGAAATTGTGGATGGGTTGCCGTGAGAGCGCGGCTGCAGGTCCGCGCATCGAAGGCGCGGCATAGGCGGGCCCCCGTGTCGCTGCGCCGCCCCCGGGCCAACAAACTCTAAGCAAATTTCTGAACCCTTAACTAGTTTGATGTACTCAACCTCGATTCGACCGACTTCGTGTCGGTTATCGGCGGTCGTCGGAATAAATTCTCATACACTGGTAAGAACACTTGCCGAGTTTAGTCGGAGTGAAGTGAGCCAGGTTGTGTATATTGTGCGCTCGCATACAGCGACTCGCGACGCTATTTGTGCATAGTTGATGTGAAAGAGATGCACGGACTACTCGACGTGTGTATCAAGAGAGGATTATGTGATGGGTCCCACAGGTGATTATTGCCAGTGAGTGCGGATCTTTAACGGCGGCGGTAGCACGGGAATGCGTGAGAGCGGCTGAATGCAATGAGCAGTGGGCTCCTGCCTCCCGTCCCGGATTTAATCCCCATCTCGGTGCTTCGCAAGAGCTCCCCCAGCAACAACAATTTAAGCGGAGACGGGATCCGGGAGTGTGCCCCTTGTGCCGTTCGTTCGGAGGTTATGGGCGAACAGCGCTCTCGGCGGCGGACGGGAAACCAACCTGCCGTCGACCTGATCGATAGCGCAGGGTCACGTGGTTACAGCGCCGCCCCACAGGCACCGCAGTCCCGGAAAGCAAGGTCCGAGCGTCACCGTAAATCAGACAGACGACGCGGACATCGCAAACTCGCCAGAACACGGTCCGATAGTAAACATTCCAAGTCCCGGGAAATCCATTCTCCAAGCTCCTCTCCGGAGAGGCCCGCGAACCCGCGCGTCAATCCAATATTCGTGTGGATACGGCAAGAAGACACACGCATCGTGGAAGTGAAATGCGAGGATTACGACAAACGAAACCGCATCCTTCTTACGAAGACAGCGCAGGGTTGGCGCGCTATCCCGCGCACAGAGACCCTCGTGCCCAGCCTGAAGGAGGCGGCTAACAGGGACCAAGAGCCACCGCAACAGCATCACCACCATCACCACCGGAACCGGAAGTCACGCAAGAGTAAAGTGAGGCGGCGGTCCACGGGGGTGCAAGTCGACTCCGATATAGGGCAAGAGGAGGAAGCCGAGGAGGTCGAAAACGATAACGAAGAACAAGATGTTGAAATGCAGACCCAGTCGCCGTCGCCGTCGTGGATGTCTGCGGATAACATTAACGTGGAATCTCTCCTGCCGTCCCACACTATAAAAGTAAAGAGGTCGACAAGCCCGGATCGTTCTCCGCAACGAGACACTACAAATGTAAACAGTGCCGTAACTGAAACCGCGCACACTCCACCTATAAAGTGCAGTGCCGACAAAATATGTGACGTCAGCCCGCTTGATAATTTACTTGCTGTAGCGGAACTGGAATTTAACCAGCAGATACAATCGGGTGAATGGCATAAATCATCTCAAGAGGAAGATACGGGAGACAATAAGGAAGAAAACATTGACTTCGACAAAACTTTTAGTGACGACGTAGATGGAGACGTTGATAAGGAATTCATTAAGAATCTAGAACAGCTGAATAACTTAATTGAATCGGAGGGGAATAAACTGGATATGGATGAAAATTTTACAGCTAATGAACAGAAATCAGATGAATGCGACTATACAGAAGATGACGACAACAATTTAGCTATGGACGATATTCTTTCTAGGTTGGAACAGTCTTTAAGGAGTCCAGAATGTACGGATGCAAACAATTGTGACGCGAATATAGAGACAAAGAGCGTGGAAGACCACGATAAGAATACTGATAGTTGTACTAGTGGCAATGAAGATAAAGCGGTACCTGAATTTGAAAATTTCTTTGAAGATAGTGATATTAAAATCGAAGAGCCTAAAATTGAAAACCTACCCAGTGAAAAACCTGAGAAACCCGAAATAATCAATTTGGTCGAGTCGTCTACAATTGACGACGAAGAACCAACAGATTTATCTTTAAAATCCAAGTTAGACATGACAGTGGATAATAATAATTGTGACATTTCTGAAGAACCAACCGATTTAAGTATACCAAAAACTTCATCAAATATAGCATCTACTTCTCGCCCACCTTCCCAAAATTCAGAGGCAATACAATCCCCACAACCTAGTGGAATACCAGCTGTGCCTCCATCTCCCGATATTGTATCCACCACGGCTACATCAAGCATGAACACAAAACCTAAATCCGTATTTCTGGAATCGTTACTATCAAACAGTTCCAAAAAAATTGCTCTTAACTCTGAAGTAACAATAATTCGTCAGAAAGAGCCGTTGGACCTGGGCAAATGTCGAAAATCGGCCAGTCCAACCGTCACGTGCTCCGAAGAAATTAATAGTACCCCTTCTGAGTTAGAACCTCCCCCAAAAAAATTTAAATCAATTGATATAACACTAAAGACATTATTAGATGCGGATGTGCAGAAGCCTGAACGAGAAGTGAAAACTACCGAAAAAAATAATGCGGGAGAGACTCCCAGATTATTAGAATTGTTGAAGAGTGATTCTGACCCCGACCCTTTAACACAACTAAAACAACTTCTAGCGGATCCATCTCTAGTAGTACCCGATCCCATGCTGGTACCTAAAGATAAGTTTAGCCAAATTTTAACTCATCCAGGAACTGAAATACCGAAGTTATTAAAGGAGCGCCCAGAATTGCGCTTGCCTGAAGCTCTGGCCTACCCCCACATTATGCAAGATCCAAATATGTTAGTTCTAAATATTCATCATTTGGAATCGATTTTGTCTAGTAAAGCGTCGCAATACGCGGAACAAAGTGACAAAATTAGCTCTGAAAAACATCACGAGAAGCCTTCAAAGAAAACAAGTGAAAAGAACAACACAGAATCGACGCGGGAATCACCAAGTTCAGTTATGAAAAAGAAAACTAGTGATAGTTTAAATAAACCCACTTCGTCGGTAGAAACACAAGGCAAGTCATTTAATGAATTAGCCAACGACATAGATGCTGCGACACAGGCTGCTTTTAGCCAAATGGTGTGGTTGCCTTATCTTAATCATCTGGAGGCTATGTCTGTGGGAAACAATTCGGAAATTATGAAGATGCTAACTTCTTCCTTCCCTTTTTATCCAAATCAGATGCCTGACCTTTCACATATATTTGGGGCTAATAGATTTCCTACCCCGTTAGGTTTCCCTATGCAACCCCCTATGAACTACACAAATCCTCTGGAGCTGGGTATGTGGCAAGAAGCCATGTTACAAGCAAGTATGTTACGAAACAAAAACACTTTTGAAAACTTCAATCCGAAACATTCCTTCAGAGAACATCTTGATAAAATTAATATCCCCCAAGCAACCAAAAAACCGACCATTCCAACTCACAACCAAAGAATGCATATTCCCAACAAGCAACAAAGCTTCCCAGGCAGTATTTATTCTTCTAGTAACAATCACTCGCCTTATCAAAATCCTTATATGAACATAAATATGCCAAATTCTTATCAAGGTAATCCTAAACCCAATCTGCAAATACCCCAATATAATCCAATGCAGCATCAGAAGAATTTAATGGCACAACAAAAGTACGGACCTAGTTTTCCACAGAAGAACTTGAATCCCTACCAGCCTCAGCAAAAATTAGACAACAACCAGAATTTTAGCAGCATATACTCCCAACTAACCGAGCAGGAGAAAAACCAATACCTACAAAGTTTAAGCATGAACAGTCAAGAACCCTCGCAGTACCAGCCGTCTGTGCACAATCAACGAAAAGAATCGGCTTCACAGAAATCAAAGTTGGCTTGCAAATCGTTCGCTAACGTTTCGCAATCGAGCCAGAGATCCACTCCCCATCACGAGCCAAAGGAAAAATCCTCCGTCGATTTTTGTAGGCAACAGACGAGCCAGCCTATTGATCTCTCCGGTTCAACGACGCCGGGAAGCAAACTCAAGGTTAAACAGCATCTTATCGATCCCGTGAACACGCCAAAGTTATTAAAGCACCACGACGACGTTCCCGAAGTTGGAAGCACCACGGCGAGCATAGAAGAAATGCAGGATGCACACAAACACCTCTGGCACCCGCTGTTCGGCAAGTGAGTATTTATTTACTTAGCAAAAAGTGTCAATGTAAGGCATGTTGCACTATGGTTTCCTTAGAACTTACACATAATTTTAATTATTATTTTAATTGTTGCAATTTTATGAAATAATACATTTCAGACTAAGAAGATCCAAGAGAGAACCTTTTTCCTAATTTCATTCTAATTTTTCCTTTATGTCATACGTTATGAAATTCATTTTGCAATATATTACTTTGACACATATTCATCTAAAATCAAACCTGTTTTTCATTTTCTTTCATGGGTGAACTTCTATCATTTCAGTATGGTAAGTTGGTATTAACCACTACTTCTAGGTAATTAAAATAAGACATAACATTTATGATTTTCATTTGATAAATATATTTTTTTGTCACATTTAGTTTCCAATTACAGGCAGATATAAAATACAATTATTTATTATATTATTTAAAACAAGTATTCGGCAAAAGGTATCTACTGAAAGAGGTGCTTAAAAATATATTTTTTACTGTAAAAAATCTACATATTTAGTTCAGTCAATTTATAATTTTCAGGATATGTTAAGAACTGTACAAATCAAATTTGTTTGCTAAATGTTATAAATACTGTAATAATCGATTAATTTGAGTATCATAAAAGTCATTTAAATATACTATTCTTAAACATAATTTTTGCATAAAGAAATAAGTGCCAATAGACCAGGGCGGATCTGTTTTGAAGTGGATGTGAGAGGGGGCAACCAAATTTTTTCTGGGTTAGCTTCAGTACGACTCACACAATAAAAGTGTAGATCCCTAGATCTGGGCGAGGTCCGGAACATTTTCAAAATTGCAAATATATTTAAAAAATACCAATTTTATCTGAGTTTTTTACTTATGTCTTAGAACCTATGCAGAATTGAATTTTGCACAACATACTGTAAGTTAAAAATGTGTAAATTTATTACCGATGTTGCAAAATAGCAATAATTGATGAAAAAAAGGCAAAATAATTTTTTGGATAATTTTTTAAAAATATTTTAATTGCTCCAAGGGCATTCTAATTTTGGTAAAAAAAAACCTTTAGATTATAGTAAAATAACACACCAAATTTCATTAAAATCGTTTCTATAGTTTTCGCAAAATAATTAAAAAAAAAATAAAAATTTCTTTTTCAATTTTCAAAATGTTGCACAGCCTCAAATAAAGCATCTAGTACTTGAAAAGTGCACAGTAAATTTTTAATTTACACGTATTTTGTTATAAACAAAGTTAATTATTTATGCATTAAATATTCGTATACTGTATATTTTACCCTATGCTATTGCATTTTTTTCAATAAAGACATTTGTTTACGTATATATTTCAACACTCATATGAATGTAGTTAGTTATAATTATTACAATTATTTAAATAATTGTAGTTTAAACAAATTAAAACAAAAAATTTATTTGGGAATACATTTGTTTGTTAAATACAGATAAAATTAAGAAAAAATAGTACTTTACAATTATAATTTTTGAAAAAGCTAAATTGCAAATTGATAAATGTATTCTCTTGCAAAAAAAACAATTTTATTGTGAAAGTTTAATATTTTGACTAGTAAGGCATAAAAAGAAATTGCTCACATATGATTCAACTGTAACATTAACGTAATGCCTTTAAATAATTCAAATTTGCGCTGTGCTAAAGTTGGGATACATGAATAAAAGATTAACAATCTAGACTCATGTATTTTATTGAATTGTGAGGTTGAATTTATGTTTCTTTCACTTCCAAAATGAGAAATATTACAACACTTGCATGCAAGCGAATTGTATTTACAAAATTATTCTAAATATTCCTTTCTAAAATTAATTAGAACGTGCATAAGCATTAATGTAAAACAAAACCATTTTGTAACACATGTTGTTTCAGTAATAATATCTGAGCTGTGCACGCACAGATTCTAAAGTTTTATGGGCAATTCGCATTCGACTTATCAGGCACCATCTGATGCATTATTCAACTGCAAATTTAGACATACTACTTACATTTAAAAAATATATTCTATTATTAGGTCTCGTGTCTTTACTATGTTATAAAGCTAATTCAAACTAATTGTTCCTAAAAAATCTTGTGGAATGAAGCCAAACAATGTTCTTCGATGCCAAAAATGCAAAAGATAAGATTCCTAACTGTTGATATTACGAGAAACAAACGCTAAATAATGTACAAGAAGTCTTGTTTGACTTTTAGAAAAAAATAATGGAACAAATTCAAACATTTCAGATGACACATTTGATTTAATTTTAAACCTACAATTATTTGAAAAAATTAAACGTGTAATAGTTCGACAGACTCAAATTTTAGCCAACAAATTGTCAACTACAAGCAAAACAGTAAAAAATGGGAAAAAGAACTGAAAAGTAGGTAGTTGAACTATCATTGATTAGAGTTAAGGCAAAGTATTTTTAATTGTGGCGTATTTTTTTTTTAGGCTGAATGTTATTTTATTCGTGTGTTATACACACAAAATTACAATACATTAATTTCTTCAAATGATGCCTAGAAACATAACACCTATTTTTAAACTAGAAATACACAGCAAAAAACTCTCCAGTGACAAATGTTCATATAATTAATATTCCTTCATTTTTGTCATGTTGCCCTGCAATAGATCTTGAAGTACTTGACGTCAATTTGATTTTCCATCAGTTTTTATCTGTGTCATAATTTTAAAAATAGGGCTCTATAGACAATCTATTATTCGCGTTCCATTATTTCGGTTGAATACCATCCCTAATATTTATTTGGCTTTTGTAATCCTTCAAGTCTGACATTATCGATCATATTAGGGTGCCTGCATAAGAGACAAGTCAACTACATTAACTTGTTAATTTATTTATTTTATAGAGGATCCAATGGTGGTCCTAAAATAACTGTATTAACGACTTTGTCCTATATCCAAAAATAGTTTTAAATATTAATATACAGTATCTACTCATAAATGCAATAATTATTTGCTGTGACTTTCCCGAATGTATCCGAAGAGGTTTAATCTAAATTTTCCACATTTTGAAAACAAATAACTACCTAACTTACTAAATTAAGAAAGACTCGTGATACTAAAAACAAGTTAAACTAAATTTCTGGGCAGGTACAAGCATGAAAAACTTAAGGGGAAATATTTTGAATGTTGAAAAAATATGCGTCTCTTAATTTCTAAATTCAGCGATATAAAAAATTTTTACTGCAAATCGCGTTTAAAATCAATTTTGTTTCGGGTAACTTTTGGTCTAAAGCCCACCATAGCGACTGGAAAGTCATCCGTCATGAGAAAACGTGGTTGATTTTACATTCGTCGGATAAAACACCGCTTTCTTCCTTGTTCAAGGTGTAAATGATTAAAACACAATGCAATTCGACACGTGCATATTGTAAGCCATTATTTTGATGTCATTGAAATTTAATTGAAAGGCACAAGGAACGCTTAAATACATAATTATTACCTTAGGTAAAATAACTTATAATCTTAGGTATTGTTTGTGATAAGTACAATATATTATATTGATTAATAACTTCATCACAAGGAGACAACAATGTCTTTTCAAGAACTGAGACTGCTTTATAATTTTCCACATTGAAGAGCTTTAATGAGCTAATATAAATGTTAGTTTATTTACACTAGGTTTCAGAAACTTAGGAATAAAATGGACACACACAATTATACTTTATCTTCACTTCAAAGTTCAAAATGTTCTTTAAATGTACCAATAAAAGCGTATGGTCTTAAAAATAAAAACACCAAAATCATGTTTTCCCTGTGGTTTTTATTAATATGAAATATTAATATTTATTGTCGCCTTAAACTCATTAAACTAAAAGGAAAACGATACACCTTTCTACAGCTTAAATTAGAATTGNGTAAAATAACTTATAATCTTAGGTATTGTTTGTGATAAGTACAATATATTATATTGATTAATAACTTCATCACAAGGAGACAACAATGTCTTTTCAAGAACTGAGACTGCTTTATAATTTTCCACATTGAAGAGCTTTAATGAGCTAATATAAATATTATTTTATTTACACTAGGTTTCAGAAATTTAGGTATAAAATGGACATTGTGGTATGTTCCAATAGAAAAACGTACCTATTGGTATTTGTCAGAAACAGAAGCCAAAGACAAGTAAGGGATGTTATACTTTATCTGCACTTCAAAGTTCAAAATGTTCTTTAAATGTAACAATAAAAGCGTATGGTCTTAAAAATAAAAAACCAAAATCATGTTTTCCCTGTGGCTTTTATTAATATGAAATATTAATATTTATTGTCGCCTTAAACTCATTAAACTAAAAGGAAAACGATACACCTTTCTACAGCTTGAATTGGAATTGCTCTTAAAGCAAAAATAAAAACTAAAAATTGATGTATTCATGTCTTCTACACCTTGATTTTTTTTTAAATTTTAAGATGCGTTTAAATATTTTTCATTTTATTTCAGTCTCTCAGAAAAGCTTGATAGAAATTTAGTCAATAGCAGTAGTTCCCTTACACTCAAAACATTTTTCTTCATCGTCTTCTACATCTTCACCATAAGTCCATTTAACTTCGAAAGTTTTGTAAACTCAAACGACTCAAATTTCTGTAACTTTTTATTTTCGGTAATAAACACTGTTTGTTTTGCAAATGTTTGTTTTCTTGTTTCTTCATATTTTCTGAGAGGCTTAATCCATTTTTTTCAAGATTTTTGTTCTTAATTCCATCTAACTTCTTCCTTATATACTAAATTAGTATATTCAACATTTTTTAAGCCGCTTCTATAGGCTCCCCATCTTATAAATCATCATAATTGAAATTTAAAATGTATAGAAACATTAATTTTAGTATATTATCGCTATTTTCAGAAAATATATTTCTCTAAACTTCACACTGGTCTGTAAATTTGCTAAGGAGTATAACTGCCGGAAAAATTATAATTATCTATAAGTAACTGGGAATGGTCTTTGATCTACATCCATCAACCACCCACATAAAAAATTCCTTCGCATTAAGTAAGTGCCTAACCAGATGTTCGTGCACGTGATGTCGGCTGTATAATCTTACAGGGCAGCAATACAATTGTAAAATTATTTTCTAGTGAATATGGATATTCAATTTACATAAATTAAATCAACGCAGGGCCATATTCCCGTTCCAATGTGGGTGTGGAAAGGATGCAAAGCTTACATTTGTAATAAATACAAGTACGAGAGAAACTGGAGAAACATTTGTTTGTATTTATTGTTTACATAATATTTTAGAGCCTCAGATTTACTTTGCTTAAACTTATTATGTATAGCGAAACAGCAATGTTATGTAACACTTTAAGGAGTGCAAAAAAACTGATGAATATTCATAAAACTGTTCTCTATGATTCAATATCTTAGTCACAGTTCTCTTATACGTACAGAAGCTGTAGAACTTTAATAGAATCTAATCATTGAAGTCTCTGAAGGTACACAGTATGGGCCTGATAAAGAAATAGGTTATCGACATAATCGACTAGAGAAACTATAAAAATTTACCCAGGCACTAACATAGATGTTCAATAAACGATTCTAATCGAGGAACCGTTGTTATTAGAGAAAAATCAGTTACGTGCGTAGCATTAGAGAATGTGAATCTGTAGTAGAGCAACAGAAACAACCTTTCTCATCTTGTGTGGTTGTAAATCTTCATGGACAACCAAAAATGGATCTTGAAGAGTATAGCACTCAACAAGACTTCACGAACTAGTGTAAAGGTTCACGGCACTGTACTGGGGGCTCGGTAGATTATACAGTACTATAAACCACAAGGCTTCAACACTTCTGGGCTCATTGCCAGAGACCTTTCACAAAAACAGAATAATTAGTGGTACTAGAGGAGATAGTAACTTTAATTAAACTGTCAAAGTAGTTTCTGACTGTGTCACATTCTTTGGATCTTTTACAAACCATTTCAGGAAAATTTTGCTTTATTCTTTTAAGAGAATTCAGTTGTCAATGGTCAGTCCAAAAAAAATTATTTGGTCTAACAATAGCTAATATTTTTGTTGTTTTATTGTAGTAGTGTATGTCCTTTGGATTTATAGTAATACCTACTACTGATGGGAACTAAGAAATGTTATAGATTTAGCGTACACTTTGATACACTGCATTTCAGTTTAAATTAACAGTATCTCTGTTTTACGTAAAAATCCCTGAACAGCAGACTTGTACCAGACAACTAAACCGTTTACAAATTAACTACAAATAATTATTCTTGTCCTCTCGTTGCATTCTTTGTACGCAGCCCACATATAAAAATAAAAGCATTCAACAGCGACTGTACAAATCAGTCTTATGATGTTTTCCACCTACGCTAGACAGAAGCAGACAAAAAAAGTCTTGTCTAAGCATTCTATTGTTGTCATAGTGGAACTCGGTGACACCCCAGTCAACTTTAAAAGCATTGTGTACATAAAAAGATCACTTACGTCTCAAATGATTCTTAACAGTTTGTCCTAAAAGAAAATAATTCAATATTAAATGCGTTTTCGTAAGTTTGCTTGCTCAGTTTCGTTGTTTTTAAATTTGTTGGTTCTCAGTAGTTTGCGGTAACTGTTATATTTATTTCATACGTGTTTATATAATCAAATCATTAAATAACTTTGTTATTATAACATTTCATCTTTATTAAAGAATTATGAACCGGTGTTATTTAAATATATTTATTCATATAACATGGATTAAATTTTACACTAATTTTTTAAGTTGTCCTTAAACAGCGATGGTCCAACCCATGAAACATATCACCAGACCATCAATCCAAATTTGATTTAAGGTTTTATATTTTAAGCAGATTACACAAACATGCTACAGACGTTAAGTCGAAGATTGAGCAAGATTTTAAGTATTGGAGTGACGTTTAGCTCTTATACATAGTTACTGTTATATTTCTCGATATATTTTCGATTCTAAAAGAGAAAATGGTCTTATTTTAAGGGTTTTCTGAACAGAACTCATAGCTAAAAGGAACTAAATCTTGTTATCATATTTACCTCCATTTGATGTGAACTTCATTACATATTTCTAATTATTTTTTACTTTGATACTAAAGCAACTTAAAATATAGATCTTTATACAAGATCAACCAGCGAAATTTTGCATGAATCAGATTATTTCTTGATGTAAAATTAGAAACTAAGATTGCAGGTTATGGCTTTGAAAATTGACCATGCAAAGTAGTTCACAACGAAGATGGAGCATCAAAAATGTTGAAATTTTTCTGAATTTTTCAACTTTTCGTCACAATTTCTGCATTCTTTATTAATTAAAGAAAAGCATTTTGGAACTCTAAGATTCTAGTTTTTAGATCTTTTGGTCAAAATTGTTTAGGAGTTACGGTTATCATATAATTGTAATTACATTTTTTTTTTATTTTGTATTTAGTCCACGGACATGCCAGTGCATGGAGCAGATAGCATGTTTAGTTAGCTTCAATTTCCTTTTTTTTTTTAATTTCGATACGACCATTTTTCATCGAAATATTGGACTTTCAATGGAAAAGGATCCTTTTGTCTTCAATTATCGATATCTCGGCGACAGATGGTGGTACAGAGAATTGAAAGGCAGTTTCGAAAACTGGAATAAATTTCCAATAACATGCTGCCGCAACTTTTCGGAAAAATCATCTTTTATTTTATTATTTTTATTTTAAAAAACAGGAAAAATGGTAATTTTTGGTTTTTCAAAAAATTGACGGCTAAATTAGAAATATTCACGAAATGACTAATGTTAAGCATGACTTTTATAATTCGATATACCTAGAAGAACCCTGTGAAATTTCATCTCGATCTAGCGAACCGTTTCTTTGTTTCAAACAGTCAAACTTTTGAAAAAAATTAAAGAGTCACGGTTTTTAGCTTAAACACTTCATAATCCGGATTAAAGTGGAAAAAAATATTTTTGAGGTTTTCTCACATTTTTACCGAAAATAACGTTTATATTGATGAAAAAAAAAACTTTTTTTTAAGAGATTACAGACTGTAGAAACATTAATTAGAAGTTTGTCTCAAAAGACGGTATCAATCGGCGTCGAAATCTGGTTTGGGTCATCAACTTTAATTTTAAAAAAGGTAACTGAAGCTGAATAAACAAGCTATCTGGTCCATGCTATGGCTCAGCTGAAAAAAAATTCCTAAGCCTGTGGACTCAGAAAACTAAAAAAAAAATTGCAAAATTTTTTTGTCGCGCTATTTTTTAGAATTTCATGATAACTGTAGCTTCTAAAAAAATATTGACTGAAAGATCTAAAAACTATAATCTTAGAGCTTTAAAATGCTTTTTTTAAATCCCGATAGGACCATTTGTCACCTAAATACAGTCTGTCAAAAATCTCGTAAAAATTTCGGAAATTCCTTTGACTTTAATTTTTTGCATTAGTGTATACAAAAAGCGATGAGGTAAAATATAATGCCTTATATAAACAATAGATAATAAACAGAATGGAGTACTTAATAATTTAAAATACAATTTTGTGTTTCATTTATTTCGCTTTTTGGATATATTGTAACTGACTAATAAGCTTCAGCGTCCACTCTAGCCACCAATGTAACAATAACAATAAATACGTGAAGATCTTCTATTGCTGATCCAATAAAACTAACTGCTATTGAGACTAAGGTAAACCAGTACTGAACCGTTTCAAATCGATAAATATTAGTTCTTCAATCTTAATCGGCCTATACAATTCAATTAATCTAAATGAATTTATTTTTTGGTAGATATAAACACTTTAATTGGTACTAATAGAACTATATATTCAGAGAAATATGGAAAAAACTAAACCTGCTCTGTTAATCAGTGTTTGACGTGCAAACAAATAATAGTGACTTATTTTTTCCCACATTCAACACTAATAGATCAAACGTCGGACTCGCCTTAGCAGGTCCTTATTTAGTCTTCTAAAATATAAACTGAACAATAAAAATTTATGATCAATATTGCAATGCTGTATCCCCAGGGGGTTACCATATATGTACCGATAGTAGTAACATGCACATTCATTATTCTTATGGGTATGATGTATGCTTGAAGCATTACGAGTTCTTTAATTGTTCAATTTTTTTCAAGTTGTCATTATTAATCAAATTGTTTTTATAATCTTTTGCGTCATATTAAACTGGTGTTCAAAGTTTGGGTACCTATCGCAAAAAAGTTGTAGCAAAAAATTGGCAATGGATTGCTGAAAAATAGAGTACAAAAAAAATTGTGAACCTCTATATTGCACCCTATATGCATAATTATATAAATATCTAACGTCTTTATTGTTCTTACAGCCAAAAGGGGTACAGCAGCCCTTGGAATTGGACGACGGTGACGGCGACTGGGGAATAACATAGGCTTCAACCTCCAAGTGCCAATTGGAGGTCCAACTCGTACCAGTACCAAGGCGTCAACAGTGCGGACGCCACTTTCACAGGGTTAGACTTCGATTTTTTTTCCAAGTAAGAAGGTCCTTCATAGTACGATGTTCAAATCTATTTGTTGTAAACTTTAATAACCGAGTACCATACCAATTATTTACCAATTACCACATTTAAAAATTGACTCAGACAAATCTTATTCATCCAGATCTAAAATCGTCAAGTTTATTTGGAAAAAATACAGCTTTAAAAGTTACTGGCTAGCTAATTTAGTAAATGCGATGCAGACAATTTCTCGATATTCAAGTACAATCAGAGGTATTGTACGCTTTGAAAATTAATAAAATTGTTTTATTGAAACGTTGGAAGCGGATACTAAGGAAAGAGAATCACATTACGTAACTTTTAATGCATGCAGTACGTCAAAGGAATTAACTTGGATTGGATAATACGCTTTTCCTGTAATCTATTTTATAATCGGGACGTAAGTTAGTGGTTATTATAGGAAATTGTTTTCGCTTAAGGACGCCATATTCCTATATTGAAAAATAAACAAATTTTAGGCGCACAAGCTTTGTTCAATGTGCCTTTTGCAAAGGAAAGCCTAAAGCAGTAGTACACCAAGTGTTATTGTACTGAAATTAAATAGTACTTTAAAAGGCAATAATTTATTATAGAATTGTTCCTAAGAAAAAAACATTCTTTCTATCTGGCTCTATTATTTTTCAACGGCAAGATGGAATTAGTTGGACTATATACAGGTTGTCTACTATAAGAGGGCTACTCCTATGTATCTCGCTTAATACACTATGCACGTCAAAAATCTTTATATGTTTTTTGTTGCATTTTTTGAGGCTTTGATGCTTGTAAAAACAAATTTGAGATCCATGGCCAACTTTATGAGTAATCATAAAAAAACCGGAAAAGTACCTAAAGCAAATTACATACGATATTTTAAAAATATGTTCTCTTGAAATGAAAAAGGTAGACGACCGGTACTTTTCCAGTTTTTTTATGATTAGTCACAAAGTTGGCCATGGATTTCAAATTTGTTTTCCGAGCATAAAGGCCTGAAAAATTGCAACAAAAAACATATGAAGATTCTTGACGTGCGTCGTATATTAAGCAAGATTCGTAAGAGTTGTATATGTTTGTGAAAATAATATTTCTTTTTGAAAAGTATGATCTAAAAATACTGCAATTATTGAAGACAATGATTCGTTCTGTTATAAACACAATAAAGAAAACATGTCGTACATATTTAGTAAAAAGTTAAGTACAAAACTGATATAATAGAACACAATTAACTGGTAGTGATAGTGATGAGTATAGTAATAATTGTTTTGCCCAAAAACGGTTAAAACTACTTCTACATTTTTCATTCGAGTCTAAAATCACCAACTGATAGGCGTATTTAAGGCTTTTTGGAAATACGTAAATGAAGCTTAGTAAATGAAAAACTACAGAACATTATTTCTTTTAAGTGAGTGAGTCTTTGCTGTTGACTTTCTAGTTGATTGTATTCACTTGAACGTAAAATCTCACACTCAGTTATTTTATCACATCTCACTTTTTATTATGTTGTATTTGTGAAAAGTTCAGTATTCAAACAATGTACCCATATACTCCTGCGCTTCTCATAAAAGGACAACTGTGCGAAATTAAAATGTAATCGTGCTGACGTTTTTGTACAGCTACCACCTTTAATAGTTGCGTAGTGCTTTATAAATAATTGATAAATACCACCATAAATTGCGGTATGTACAGCTCAGTGCAAATATTTACAGTTTTTTTAGCGTACCCAGTCAATGTCCTCAGTGCGTTAGCGGTTACAATTCTGCAGCAGATGGCCCACTAAGATTATTATTAATTACTTTGCATTGCTTCGACGACTCGCGATTGTGAAATATAACCGTACTCCCAAAATTTCGCAGTTGTTGCACATTGCTAAATTTAGGCGTCTCGCTTGTATGACAATTTTTTTAAAGTAATAAATAATAATTTCCTACGGGGAGGATCTACATCTTCATTCCGTTGAATTCTGAATCGAGAGTAATAATAATTACTCTATAACGCCAACCAGTGTTCAGGATTTGCCTCTATTTAAATATTAAAGCCATGCAACTTTTACTACATCTGCAATAAGGTCGGCATTTATTTGCTCAGCACATCTTCAGTCCCATTTTACGAATCCCGGCACGATTGCAGTATTAGCGAGCGACAGATTTCGAATCAAAAACGCTAATTAAATTTTCTCATCACGTCAGAATTCTTAATTACGTTGCTTGGCGCGCTTCTGGAATGCTGTCTTTTAGCAGATAAATTCTAATAAAATTACCAACTTAGATGGCATCCGACAAAGATCGTAAATTAATGTCGAAATACAAAAAGATGTCTGACTGAAGCAAACGCAAAAAGAAGTATCTCGGTGCATTTCCGACATTTTATCTGATATCAGCTCTGTTTTATGCGCTAACGAACCAAACGGAATTCCCCAGGATTGCCGGCAAAATCCTGCGAATCGAACGATGAAATAATATCGCAGACGGATATAATAAAATTCTTGCTGGAATGTGAACAGAGCTACAATAACAGTAACGTATTTTTTTCGATGCATTGAAATGGCTAATGTCAAAAAAAAAAAAATGTTATTGAACGGGACAATTTTGTTTCAGGAAAAATAACGCCCTACTTAATTTGAAACGTACATTGACAAAAATATTTCAGGAGGTGATTTATTGCATCATTTTAAGGAGAAATGTTAGTATGACTTATCTCTTAAACTGCTCTGCTTTCGAAAATACAGGAGTTACACAAGTTTCTCTGAAGATGACACAGGTATCGAAACTTGGGCATAATTTTGAAATTCAGTAAGTCTACAACCAGTTTCATTGCAAAAATCTATAGATGATAATTATTTAGGTAATCTTATAATTTTGCTTAGAATCTCCAAATATTAATATTCGTTTTTCAGAACCTGTTATTTTGAAGGATTATTTTATTGAAATGAAAGCAAAATGAAATGAGATCGATTTTAAAGGAATTTGGATAAATTTGGATTGAATTTAAATTAAATTTGTAAAGCTAGTATGTTAATCTAACCTGGTTGCAGTGTAGGTGAGATATAACTTACAAGGGATATGTAATATTTTAAATGGCAGAATAGTCCAGACGGTATCTGTTTCAAATTTCATATTTGGGTGAATCGTACATCCACGAAGATTTTTGGCTTTTTGGCTTTAAAATATTACTAGAAATGAAAATTTTTTTATTCGCATAAAAAAAAGTGGGCTTAACTTTTGGCGGCACAATATGTTAAAAAAATTCGAAAAATGTCATATTTTTCGTCCTATTTAATTATGTATCTTTTCAAGAGTTGATTTTAGGCAAAAATGGAAAAGGAAAAAAATGTTTGTAATTAAATTTTACAAAATATGATTAGTTACAAATCGAATGAATCATGATTATTATTGTAAAAATCGAAAAAATCGTCAAAAATGGGGTTAAAAAACATTATTTTTTAGGGAATTTTTTTTGGGGTCTCTAAATTGGGTATGGTACCTTTATACTCGGCTCGAGAAAAGTTCATGTTATGTAGAATCATCAGACCAAATTTCATGAAAATCGGTTAGATAGATTTTGCATAATAATTTTGCAATCCAGATTTTGAAAAAAAATTTGCAAATTTTCAAAATTTTGCACAGCAGAATCCAGTGTTCTTAGATACTTGAAAATTTAATCACATATAGAAGGGCTCTCAAGCTTTCAAACGCATTTTGAGAAATTCGAATCCGTCAATTAGGAGAGCTCGGGCGCTTGTTTAAACGTTGGTCGAATTTTTGTACTATAATTTTGTATTTTTGTATATATAATCAGTTAATTTCTCATTTGCTTATATTTTAAACAGTAAATAATATTTGAATTATACTTTAATCACAAAGGAAATGATGATTAAATTAAAAACTGATTAATTAATTAATTACTAATTTTCGACATATTTTGAAAATAATTATGGTTTAAACAATTTTAGAATATTGAAACAAATTTGTTTTTGATCTTTGATAAACAGTTTATAAGTTTATGCACTTACCTTACCTTTGATACAATAAAAAAATAAAGTTGATAATTAAAGGAAGTTAAAAGATAAAGACATCGGACTGTTGAAAGACCAATAATTATTAACAATAGGCATTTGAAAATACGCTAATTGTTTTTTTATCGCGAGACATCGATTTAAAAAAAATCATCAAAATCGGACCTCTAGAAGCTGATATTAAAAATTTTTAAGCGTGTCGCGGTTTTGAACTGGCCAATTCAATTTCGAGCAAGCCGAAGCGACCGCGCTCTCTCCTTCCCCCACCACCACCACCCGTACGATTTTCTTAAATTTCTCGCTTGCATAAATAACTTTAAAGGAGTTTTAAAGTAGATTGCCAATGAAGAAAAGTATCGCAAACTTAGACCTGGTAAATACTCGTAATACCAAAGTTATTTTTCGAAATATTAGCCCGGATAGCCCCCAGTACATTTAGTGTAAATGACGGTTAACTTTGATCGGCTATAACTACGTAACTAATTGATCAATAGATCTGTTTTTTTTAAAGAAGCATCTTTCCGATAACTTTTAAAACCTGCTTTAAAAAATTTGATTTGATTGAATATTGACAAAGTTCGACTAATGTTTAAACAAGCGCCAGAGCTCTCCTAATTGACGGATTCGAATTTTTCAAAAAGCATTTGAAAGCTTGAGAGCCCTTCCATATGTGATTAAATTTTCAAGTATCTAAGGGCCTTGGTTTTTGCTGTGCAAAATTTTGAAAATTTGTAATTTTTTTTCAAAAAGCTGGATTGCAAAATTATTATGCAAAATCTATCTAACCGATTTTGATGAAATTTGGTGTGATGATTCTACATGACGAACTTTTCTTGAGCCAAGTATGAAGGTCCTATACCCAACTTAAAGACCCCAAA